AGTCATCAGTCTTGGCAACAAGTGTTTTCACCTTGCCCTTATGCTTTTAAAGCAATTTTTAATTTAAATTCTATTTTTTTCTGATACAAATTTGGATGTCTGTGTTTTCAATTAGTTTCCATTTCCAAGGGAAACTATTTTTGTCCCTCCATTTTCTATCCATGGGTATCCTATGTGCATCGACATAGTATGGTTCAAATCTGTTATTTTTAAAAATGAATTCAGACAATTTGTCCTTTGACTATAGAATTTATTCCAATTAAATGTAACTACTGATGTTGAAGGACTTACTACTGACATTTGTTAGTTTTTTTTCTCCATGTGTTGTGGGTCTTGTTCTTCTCTTCCTGCTTTCCTTTGAATTTTATTCATTTTGCTATAGTGATATTCAATGACATTCCTTTCTTCCTTTTGTATATGTCCTACAGATGCTTTCCTTCTGGTTATCATTGCAATCGTAGAAAATATATTAAAGTTTTAACCTTATATTTTCAATTGATAATGATTTCCATCACATTGAAAAACACTAGCGATGGATCTTCATTTCTGTATTTTTGCTACTACAACAAATATATATTTATTTTATATACTGTCAATATAGATTATTAATTTTTACAATAATTATTTTAACACAAGATATCACTATGTAGTTGAGGCTGCCCTTGAAATCCTACTGCCTCAGCAGGAGTATTGGGATTATAGGTTTGTGCTAACACATCACTCAAAATACTTTTGTAAGTGGTGAGCATGGAAGAGATGTCCCCATTATTCATCTGTCATGTGGTGGCATGGGTGGAGAAGAGTAGCCCTTCCCCATCATGCAGGTGGGAGAGCTGGCCCTGAGGTCATAAGAGCTGGAGAATTGTCACTGCCCCTCATCAGCTGCAGCACTCAGGAGAATGGCCTCTATACCTCGCCCAGGCAACACAGTAGAACTAACCTGAAGGTGTAGGTATGCGAGAACAGACCCTGAAGACTAAAGCAGAACTGGCCCTACCCCTTACCGCTGCAAGGGGTGAACTAACCAGAGCAATGCAGGAGAGCTCACACTGGTAATGAGGACAAAAGAGAGCTGATATGCTGACCAACCCTGCAACTGCTCTGCAGCTGTCCAGGCCCAGAACCAGGGTTATGATTTAATCCACTCCAACATCCCCCTCATCTGTGCTTTGCTGGAGCACCTGAAGGGGCAGGTCCTGCAGATACAAAGCTGTAGGATCTCTATGACACAGGATAACCAAAAAGAGTTCCAGTGAGGGTCCAGCATTGATAGTGTAGCAGAAACCAGAGGCCTAAAAACAGACCAATGACTATTTACAATTAACTTGTACAAGTAAAGATATATAGATAAAGGGGTTAACTTCCATGATGAGATTGATTTTTTCCTTTTTTTTTCTCTTAAATTTTATTTTATTTTATTTTGGGGAGAAGGTTGCGAGGGCAGAGGATAGATATGAAGGGCAGGGAAATGAATGGGATAGAGATGCATGATGTGAAAAACACAAAGAATAAATAAAACAAAAGTTAATTTTTTTATTATTCAAATTATATGTAAAATTAGAAGTTATTTGGCAGACAAAAATTACTTTAATATAGGTTACTTTTTTGTTTATGTGCCTATTATTACCCAAAATATGATTTCATATTAATGTAAAATCAAATTTACATTAGATTTTTCATATTAGATGTTATATCATAACAGATCAGAGAAACTATATTGATTTAGATAACATTGTAGTTGTGATCTCTTGAACTCAGTGTATTTTTGTTGAGTAGTTATTTTTGTTTTTCAAAGTATATCATCTCTTTCACTAAGAGAAAGGAAAACTTGTGACATATATCACTGTTTTTCAATATTTCCCATCTGAGTACTATCCAGGCCCCACCCTGCTTAGCTTCAAATATCAGATGAAAAAGAATAAGTTAAGGTTCGTACAGTCATACATGACTTTGAATGTTTCAATTTTTCATTTCCATGTGTATGCTCAAAATCAATTATATTTCAGTGTAGACAAATACTTATCTTAATTGAAACAATCTTATGCTCCTTTCTTTCACTTCTTAAATAGTATCACAAACTATGATTTTTTTCAGGGAAAATAATAATAAATAATGATAATTAAAATAATAATAGACTGACTATAACTACTTCTTTCTCACTAAATGACACTTCTTCAATTTTTATATTACACAAAATTCCTGAAAAAAAGGTTATGAAGATTTCTAGGTTCTTGTTGCACATTATGACATAGTAATTTGAATATTTTAAATTTAACCAACAAAGATTTGTCACAGAGTACTTTTAGCATTTCTTTGACTAGAAAAAAGTAATTGTTATGGAAAGAATGCCATGGAATACATTCACTTAAGCTACTCTTCAACATTAAAAGGTAAGGAGAATAAGTCACATGTTAATTGTCAGGGTTAAAACACTTTTGCTTTGAAACAGTTGAATTGTTTTGATGTTGTTTAGTGCAGCCAAATGTCTCAATCTTGTTTCTGTTAGTCATTTTGTATTCAATGACACATTTTAACTCTTTTTTGTGTCATTTAACAAACACCTAATGGATTTAACTCTTTTGGAGCATCACATCTTCTTCATGAAGACAAGAGGGCAACAGGCATGATTATACTTAAACACCACCTTTATTCCCTATTTTCTCTCAAACGCCAATCTTCTTTTTCTTTCTGTCTTGACAGCATAAAGTGCACTTATTGTTTCAGTATATTTTTTGGTGCCTTTTCCAGGAAGCTTCTAGCTATATTAATTAGAATGCCTTTTTCTGGGAAAAATCACATAGCCTCTCTGATAATTGTCAGAATTTTATTTTGTTCTTATAACAAGTTATTAGTTAAGTGCTGTCAAGAAGGAAGTTATTTTTCCCTCCAGACAATACAAATGTTGTGCTTGGGTCTTTTAGGCATAAATTATAGACAGTAGCAATGTACTAGTATTAAATTCAACATAATTAAAATTGAGAGTGGGCTATAATAAACTCACTAAGGGAAGAACAACCCTTCCTTCTGGCATGTTGAATACAAATGTAAGCAATATTCTCTTTGAAATTAAGGGTAATTTAATTTAATTTTAATTAAACATGAATATAAGATCCTACTATAGAGAAAAGTTCATTGTTAATGTTAGTCGTCTCACTTTAAAATTTGTAAGGTGTAGTTTGAAATATCAATAAAAGCTTTCTTAAGTTGGAGTTAATGCATGACAGAGCATATTTATTTACATGGAATATTTTTTGTTACAATGGAAAAACTGCATCTATATACATGGTGTTTTATATGTAAAGAGCTTAAAGGTGATATACTTGAAAGAATAATAAACTTTCAAATAATTTGTGGCACAGTACTATAGTCAGTTTGTGGACAGCAGTATAATGAAGATAAGAAATGATTTATCAATTGTATTGTGCATTCTTTCAAAATTCCAGCAAATTAATGTAAAACTAATTGCATAACACATATTTCTTCATTACACAAAACAATGTCAGCCTGCAAGATACAGCTGAACTTCCACTTCAGTAAAGGCAGTTAGTGTCAATCATTTTCCAAAGATTTTCAACAGTACATAATAATAGTACATAGAATATCTTATTTGCTCTATAGTAGTAAATGCCAGTTAGAACACTGTGATTATTATGAATAATGAACACATTGTATAAGGTATCTAAAACTATTTTGGCTTATTTTTACATTGAGAAAACACAATAAATTAGATATTAGACAGCTCTGATCACAATCATTTAGTCCTTAAATTTAGGCACACTTTTAGATAATTTTAAGATATAGAAAATGAGCATTTATATCTACAAATATTTACATGTAACTTCTGGGGCTAACAACATAAATTCAAATAAATTGTAGTCGGAAAAAGCCCTGAGTTAAAAAGGATAATATGTTTTCTTCCTTAAGGTCATATGTCTCTGCTACAGAATCTCAGGGGTATATAGAATAATTGTGTTTAGAATCATGGCAATTATGCCTGTATTTCTGAAATTTCTATTTTGCAGGTTATATTCAGCAATTAAATGTTTAGTTGTTTAAGGCTCCCTTCTCACTTTTATCCATCTTATGCCCCCTTTTAGATCAGTGTTTCTCAGAGCCCTGGAATCATGAATCCTTAGCGTCACCCAGAGCCTTCTTAAATGAGTGATTGTATGAGCAGATATGGGCCCCAGAAATCTGTATTTTAGTAAGATTCACAATTTATTTTGACCTTGAGAGCCACTGTCCAGATTGTTCTTACCTATGTCCATGACTTCAAATGTCATATCAATGTAGATGACTCACAAATTATATCTCCAGCTGAATCTTTTACTCTGAGCTCCACTCAAAGTAACTATCTACTTTAAACACCACAGGATATAAGAAGATACCCCGAATGCTATGTGCTCCCAGATAAAACACACACTCTTGTCTCATAAACATGATACTCTTCCATTATCCCCCATCTTACTAAAAATTATGATGAAATTCATCTTGGTTTATATGCCATAAACCTAGTAGTCATCCTTGACACTTTCTACACCTTCAGTTCCCATAGAAAACTGAGTTGATTTTTACCTCCTAAAGGTATCTTGAATATATCTACTAGTTTTCAATTTCACTGCCACCATTATAATCCAAGTAAGTCTTTTTACCTATCTCTCTGTAAGCCCTTTACTCCTTTTTTCTCATTTTCTTCTCCATAGGATCCTACCTATTTCTGAAAACCTTTTAATGGCTTTCTTTGCCTCTTTAAATAAAGTTATTTACTTGATGGTCCATAAACACTCAAAGTATAAATGTACCTTCTCTATAAGTCCTATTCTGTCACATATTTCCACATTGTGACACCCTGACCTTCTAATACACTAAATAACATTAGGATGAAAATGAAATAATTTTTATTTTTAAAATGTCATTATTTTCTATGATTGAAGGACATACCTGTAACAAAATTGTTACTCAATATACATTATATGAATAAATGAACATAAAGTACTTACTAATTCATCTCATCCAAGCATGTACCAGCAAAGTAGAAATCCTTGATTCTTGCATGGGTGGCTTGGAAAGCACTATGGGAAAAAGGCAAAAAGCATAGAATTTACTTTTCTTTCTAACAACTGTTAGAACATTTAATCCTATAACACTCTGAAAGGATTGAAGCAGCCATCTAGTAAAATCTCTAATCTGGGTAAAATGAAGCCTTAAATGATTAAATAACTTGCCAAAGGTAATGCGTTGGTAATGGAAAATTAAGAAGGACACTGATTTTTTAATCAGGCACTCAGAAAGTATTCTGATTCTTAAAAGAGGGAGGGGGACTGGGAGGAAGGGAAGGAATGGGGATTGTGGTTAGAATTTATTGTATGAGAAAAGAATAAAGAAAAAGAAAACAAGATTTGGAGCACTACTGTTTTTAAGCAAACCGGTGAACTAGGGTATTTTAAAATAATTGAGTTATTAATCAGATTCTACACTTCTTCAGAATAATGAAGTTTCTCTCAAATAGTTCTTCTAAATCCCATTAAGTATTTTTCTATTGATATGTAGAAAAATAAATATGGCTCTCTTCTTTCTCTTGATCTATGTCTTTTCAAAAGCAAAGGATGTGCCTATGCCTATGAAATAATTTATATCTATACATCCATCTATTGTCTATCTATCATATATCTACCTACCTACCTACCTACCTACAAATACTGTCTGGAATGAAAGACAGTACTTAAAGAGTAGTGTCAGTTTGGCAATAATATAAACTATGCCTTAATAGAAAAAATAGAATTTTTCTGAGGATCTTTCTTTGTTTAATTTACTCATTAATATCATTATCAATCATATATGGATATAATTCCAATTCCTATCCTTTTCCTTCATGCTGTTTTCATATATGTAAATGTTATTAGAATTAGCAGAAATTTTCTATGTGCCTCTTATTCATTAATTCATGTATTTTACAGTTTAAATTCTCATGCGTAAAAGATATACTTTCAAGTAGAAACAATGATGCAAATTAAGACAAAAAATGAAGAATTTTTAAATGTCCTGTTAAAACAAAACTCTGAGAGCATCAATTTGAATGTTATTAATGTAGTATAGGGCACTATGTAATATTATGGAATATTTATAACACTGAGTTTCTTTTGATCAAAACCAAACTCTTGCATATCTCCTATCACAGTATTTTCTAGTAATTTTTTTTTTTTGGTTTTTTGAGACAGGGTTTCTCTGTGTAACTTTGCGCCTTTCCTGGAACTCACTTGGTAGTCCAGGCTGGCCTCAAACTCACAGAGATCCACCTGGCTCTGCCTCCCAAGTGCTGGGATTAAAGGCGTGCGCCACCACCGCCAAACTCTAGTAAATTTAATATAATCTGATCATATCCCTAGTAACAGAAGCTCTTGATTATTTTCTTTTAGAGTTTATAAGTCACCTTACAAAATTGAGAATTTTCTGATATCTACCTTCATACAAAAATGTTTTTTTTTCAATAATGACCCTGATTCTGCAAATTCATCTCACACTAGCAATAAAGGATCATCCTGATATTGCTTCATTAATTGGGATATTACTTTCAAATAGTTTGAATTTACAATCAGTTCAATTCTTTTCTATTTAATATATGTGTTAAATGGTTATTTAATTTATTTAAATATTCTCACAAACTGGTAGAAAACATCCAATATTACTCTTTTGTAAAATAGCGGTGTTGGCCTTCATCAAGAAAACCTCTTTTGGAAGTTTTAAAAACAATAAATCTACAAGTACACTTAAATCCTTAAATCCAAATTGCTTCTTTTAAGGGAAGCCTTAAGTTTTAGTAGTTTAAGCTTTCCAGCAGCATGCTAATGAATTAAGAGTTCAACTGGAACTGGGGTTGTAGCTCAGCAGTGGCACACTTGCATCGGATATCCAAAGCCACTGGTTCCAGGCCCTGCTTCACACAAAATGTTAAAGCTTCCTTAAATCCAACAGACTGCCAGTTGCTAGATGAAAAACTTGGCCAAGTACATTTAACCTCTCAGTCATCTCATCTGTAGAAGCAGGACAATGCCCCCCTGGAGATGTATTATATCACATAACATAGGCTAATTGCTTAGCACACAGCACCTGGTAGACAGTGTGTACTGAAAATATAGAAATCAGGAATTTCATAGGATCAGATTTTCCAACTAATTTTCAAGGCTAGCAACAGAAACATTGTACTTTTCAAACACCTTTTCATAGTACCTGAGAGTTGAGACTGGATTAAAATTTGGGCTTCTAAGTTTTATTGTATCAAAAACTCTAGATGAAACATGTTCTCTGATATTGCTTTAAATGCTTGAAAATATGCAATGGAGTTTTAATTTTCTCATACTCGTTCAGTCTGTAATTTACTACTTCAATCTTGTTGGGTCTGTATATACATTTCAGTTTATAATTATTTGAGATATTAATTCCAGTATTTGGCATATATTCAAATTCAGATATGAAATTCCAATTCAAGAGTGGGAATTGACCAAAGAAACACCGATTTTTTTATTGCTATTTACCCATGTATGTTTTTTCACCTTACGGTTTATATCTTTTTGTTTGTTTGTTTGTTTGTTTGTTTGTTTTTATTTTTTGAGACAGAGTTTCTCTCTGTAGTTTTGGTACCTGTCCTGGATCTCTGTAGAATAGGCTGGCCTTGAACTCGCAGAGATCTGCCTGGCTCTGCCTTCAAGTGCTGGGATTAAAGTTGTGTGCCACCACCTCCCAGCTCACCTTATGGTTTATATCTTAAATTTCTTGGTATCACTGCCTTCTTAATTTCTAAAGCTCTCTTAGTAACCTAGCAACAAGGGTATTACATACTTGCACACTTCCTGTTATTTACTCCGTGTGCTAAGTCATATATCTAGATGACTGCTGCTATTTTTCAATCATGTATTTAGTCATAGCTTATGTTCCTATAGTGAATCTGTTAGAATATCATAGCTTGTTTCTTTTATGAAAGGAGGAGAAGCCTTTGTAATAACCTCTCTCACAGCCTTTTAAAAAGAGTTTCATGTAGAGCTTTGTTTAATATAATTTTGTTTTTAACTTCCTAGATGACCAAAAATAGTGTTTTAAGATTCCATAGATCAGTTTATATAAAAATTACTTTAAATTTACTTACTTACAGCTCTCCAATGTTAATGATGATTTATAGAACATATTTTTACAAGTTCTTAGTTTGTCCAAGTCAAAGCAGAGGGGAGGTGGTTAATCATTTCCAGAAAGGGCACTTTTAATAATTTGGTGCCGGGCGGTGTTGGTGCATGCCTTTAATCCCAGCACTCGGGAGGCAGAGGCAGGCGGATCTCTGTGAGTTCGAGGCCAACCTGGTCTACAAAGCGAGTTCCAGGAAAGGCGCAAAGCTACACAAGAGAAACCCTGTCTCAAAAAAAAAAAAAAGATTTTGGCAAAGAATGCATCTGTCAGACTGCTGGTGTTAATATGCACAAGCCATTGATCTAGTCTCTTTCTAATACCTTTGAAGAATAGCACTTCTGTGGACTAATTCCAGAAAGGATAAAAAAAAATACAAAATTTGTACGTAGATAGATAGACAATTATAATTCTAAAAATACTTCTGTAGTTTGTTTGTATACAAACTTATCATGTGTGTAAATTGACTCTTCCCATGGACAAAACTGACATCAAGCATGTTCAGGGCAGGATGGCTGTAGATCATAGTCTGATCATGGTCTGCCGTAATTTACCTAGTTCTATAAATGTTAAAGAATAAAAGGAAAGTGCTTTTGCTGCATCAAGAACAGATGGCCTTTATTACAAAGCAATTTTCTCCCTGTGCATCCTGTGCAATGAGGTCAAATATTTGGTGCACAATTTTCTAGAGTCTTGGTATGAAGCTGTTCCAATTTGCTGCTATTAAAAGTAAAACATCCAGTGACTCATATAAGGATATATCCTTTTTGGTATTCAACCTTTTTTTTAATCAAATTTTGTGAATGTTCTTTGCATATTGATGTTAGAAGATTTATGTTTCAATGTTCTTTCCCCCTATTTTTAAGGTACTGTATTTTTGTGGTTTTGTTCTTCATAAGTATAAATATGATGCAGCTGACAAACATTCATGAAACTACTGAATGCCTCTTTAAATTGAAAAACTTCAACAATTGAGTCCACCAATGGACATTTAACATTTCTCTTATATCATAAGTCATTCAAGACATTTCTGAAAGTCAAAGAAAACTGTGATAGCACAAATTAGATATTTTAGCATATTTTATGTTGAGAGTATGGCTTATCTAAAAAAGAGAATTGGAGAAGAATAAAATAACAATCACAAGTGATAGGAGTCTGATCTAGGTTCCTTGCATATATGTTATGGCTGAGTAGCTTGGTTTACTTGTGGGATTCCTAATAGTGGGTGTGGGGGTGGTCACTGACTCTTTTGCCTAATTATAGGACTCTTTTCCTCTTGCTGGGTTGCCTCATCCAGCCTTGATGTGATGGTATGTGCCTGGTCTTATTTTAGCATATGCAGTGTCTGGTTGATGTCCCTTGGAGGTCTGCTCATTTCTGAGGGGAGACTGAGGGGGCATAGGTCTGGGGGAAAGGAGAGATGGGGGCCCTGGAGGGAAGGAAGGGAGGGAAAACTGCAGCTGAAATGTAATATACAAAATAATAATAAAAGAAAAACAATCATAGTGAAAAATGGGGTATCCCTTACTGTTTATGTAAGTCATCAATTTAAAGTATAACATTCTTCCCACAATAAACAGATTTTCAAAAGTTGAGTGTTACTCCTCTTTATTCTAAGTCATATATTGTCACCAAAAAACAGATTACTTTACAAATTCTTCATTTAAAAATAATTTTACTACTTTTTAAAATGCTCAGGCATTTTCATGAAGTAATGACTATTTCATAATGTGAATTGTGTATTCATAATTAATCTTTTAAAATAAAATTTTCAATTAAGTATCATACATATAAGACATTAAAACCCCGATAAAATGTTCTTTCTCCAGAGTATCATAATATTGATAGCATAGAATCAGTATTGGCATCTTTCTACTAGCAGAATTGTTCACTTTAAGGGAACTGACTTAATAATTACTTTATATATCAGATTAAATAAAAACTTAGATCATATAATTAGACTTATCAGTAGAGAAAACTCACTAGAAAATGTGAAAATTCACTGATTTTTTTTGCAATGCTATAGGTTTAAAATTTTTATTTAGGTTAGTATATGTGACCAAATTTATAGCCTTTAGGATTCCCCCACTTTCCTCAAACCATCAGGTTGGTTTACTCCTTCATAAACATACCCAAGAGTTCATAGGAACTAATCATGTCAGAAGAAAGCCTCTTCAAAAAGGCTCATAATAAAATGAAAGTCTAAGAAAACACCATAAAACAACAAAATGATGGCAATTAATTATCATAAATAATATACTTTGACTTTAGAAGCAAGAACTTCTCACTGTAGTAAAAAATGCTCTCTTGAAGTTTGATTTATGAATCAGAAGTCTACATTTTCTTCTTCCTTAAGTGGTTCTCAATTTATAAGTTCTCTGATTTGATAGTACCTTAAACTCTAATCAAATCTGATTTTGAATTTTGAGTTTCCTTAAATAATTTTCCAAGGAATTTAGGTCTTTCTGGTTATGGAACATTTCTAAGTTCTGGTACTTGAAGTGTATATATATATATATATATATATATATATCACTTAGTTTACTGTGTTTATAGCCCTATTACCACTTAAGTATGTAAATGACATAAAGAAGAAAAAGAATGAAACAAAGTTAGAGAAGGCAAATGGGTAAGAATTCACTTCCATTTTTTTGTGGGGGGTCACTTGATGGACATGGGGATATTTGAGAACTGAGGTGAAGATCTGGTCTATATTCATATATGAGGAGCATTTATGAAACTACTGAATGCCTTTTTAAATTGAAAAAAAAACCTCAATAATTGATTCCCTCAATGGTCATTATCATTTCTCTTATATCATAAGGCATATATATATATATATATATATATATATGGAGTTCATTTTCCTTATATATACTTAAATACAGTCAAGTAAGACAAGATATCCCTTAAGGTTTATACAGAGTCTGACTCTATTTTGATATTTGACTGCTGATAGTTTTCATTTTCTACTCTGCCATTTCTTCCTGTTTGGCTAGACCTTTAAACTCTAAAGCCACAGGTGACCACAAGAAAAAAAATCTAACTAATCTCCCTTTTCAAGCCAGTTTTATATAGCTTGGGATGCCTGCCTGTTATGGTCTCCTCAAAAAGGCTCATTCTGTAAATAAACATTTTATCCATTGTCTCTTGCTGTGTGGAATATTAACATCTGCACCAAATTCAGGAGTAGTATTTGTTCCCCTTCTGCAGTGAATCTTATCAAATGAAGAATCACTGATTAAAAAAATACCAGTACTGTGAATGATTTGTCATTATAATGATTGATTTATGTTTTCCAAATTGAAAAGAGCAGGTAAATACTATAAAGAACATAGTAAAAATGAGAATAAAAAAATAAAAGCCTTAAGGTCAGGGGATATGTGTTAAACATGTACAAGTTTGAAAGTATATTTTAAGAATTGGGTCCATATAGTTTTATATTTATATGTTTATTCTCTTTATAATTTAATCATTTACTTTAATGTTCAAGTGACTCAGGCCTTGAATAGCTTAACTCTCTTCCACTTTTAAATTAAGTCTGGTTCTCTGCCCTCAACTTTCTCATGGGTAGATAAATCACACCTGTACATCATAGGCCAGATTTGGAAAAACAATGTAAATTGCAATACTAACTGCATACATAAATACTGTCTAACAATATTTGCAAGTCTGGTAGCAGAAACATAGTATTTGCAGTTGGAAAGCTACACACTAGAATATTTTTTCTACTTACTTTAATAATGAATATTTAAAGACTCTAGCAGAGAGTTTAAGATATAAAAATATTCGTTAATAGCCTTTTATTTAATCTTATTGGTAAATCAAACACTTCTTCAACTTGATGTTTTCCAATTTCTTTCCAAGTTTTCGTGTTTTTTAATATAATTAAAAAACAGTAAATTAAATAATAACATCATTATCCCTACCACTAATGTATGACAGTTGCATTAACTTTGTACCATGTAACATATTTTTATATCTCTTTTAATATCTCTTTAATTGGATTTATTTCTCTTCCTTGGACTTTCTGAAGTCTGTTCATCTCTTTTGATGTCTGGAAAACCAGATACTCTATAATAAGAATATGACTTACATAATAAAAAGCATACCATTCAGGTATTTCTAGCTATCCAATCAGTGTTTCCTAATTATATACTGACCTCCCTCTAACATGTTAATTTTATAATACTTATATAATACCCAGAGTGAACAGCTTTGACTTGTACAATTATAATTATGGCAAATGTAGAAAGATTGTGAAAAATAAAGTAATATTATGATTATTCTATAATATATTCATATTTTAAAATATTTATAGTTAAATAAAGATAAATAATGAATTAGAGTGGTATCATAATTTAAAAATATATTAACTATTATGTTAATCCTATGGGATCTATTAACTATAAGTTCTACTCACAGTATAATCCTGAAACACTGCTTGTCTGAAAAATCATGAAAGGAACTACAAGAAAAACTTAAAATTATAAACTAGACCCTGTTATAGCTCTATTTTAGGGTATTAATTTGAATTCTGAATTTAAAAGTCACTTATTACTTACTGATCTCTTCTGCAGTGTGGAGCTAAGTCAATTCGGAATTCTGGTAGGTAAATGAAACCATCAGCCTTGGTGTCCTAGGAAAGAATGAAAAAATATAAGTGGAAGATTTAAGAGAGAGTTTACAAGTTGAAACGGAAAACAAGAGCTAGGTCACCAGTGTTGTAACAAACAACATTTTTCTAGACTGCTTATTAAGGAATGCAGTTTGCTTAGCATGCACTTGAAATAGCTTTTGCAAAGCAAATGGACCATGCATTTATTAAACCATCAATGGTAACAACAGATTTTACATTAATGATTATACAGAATTATTTCAAAATATGCAAATAGCTCTCACCAACATTAAGGCATTTGAAGCAGACAAAAATATATCAATGAAGCCCAGCAAAGAGAAGAGCTATAGCAGCATTTAGAACATTAATAAACCTTCAGTTGTCTCACATAGAATGATGATTACAGGTATCAATCATTTTCAACTTCAAAGCTTCTGAAATATCTAATAGTGAAATATCTAAGGATGAAATTGTTTAGCATAAGAACATCACAGAGCAGATTTTGAAATTTAATCTTTTATTTCTGTGTCCTTTATATCATATATATAAGCAACCCATCAAATTTGCATCATATTGTCATGAACTGACACAAGGCTGAATACCTTCCTACATGTTTATAGAACTTATTCAATTCTAGTCATCATAAATCTGCCCATGTTTACCAGGCCACTTTTTTTTCTGAGTCACAATTTCTTCAAGGATAAAAAGGGGATTATGTTATTGCTAAGTTGTAACATTTGTAACTCACAAGGGAAAAGATACTTTAGAATATTAAAGTTATGAGAAATAAAAGTCTAGTAATCTTGAAATTAAAAAACAAATCAGAACCTATATATTTTAGTAACAATCTGATAAAGGATCATGTAGAAAAATACTCAAAAATGTGGAACCATTAAAAAAGGTGCCAGAACATTGATTCATCTTATATTAAGTAAATTAATTGTAAGAAAATTCTTTAGGTGAAAACACTATAGTGAATAGAATTTACTATTGTGATGATATTTTCTTGGTGCACCCCAATAAAGCTTATCTGAGGATCAGAGGAAAAAGTCAGCCACTATAACAAACATAGAAGTCTGAAATGGTAGCACATGCCTTTAATCCTAGCATTTGGGAGGCAGAGATCCATCAGGGAGAGTGAGTTCAAGATCAAACTGGGGAACAGAGCCAGGCATGGTAACACATGCCTTTAATTCCAGCACTAACCACAGAAGTCTCGAGGTCTGTACAGATAGAGAGGAAATGATGTAGCTGGGTGGAGAGAGGAAGTGAGTTGGCAGAACAGAAAGGCATATAGGTGTGGGTATACAGGAAACAGGTCTCTTTGGAGACTGAGGTGTTGGTAAGGTAAGGTTGCCTGTGACTTGTCATATTCCATTGATCTCTCAGTTTTAACCCCAATATCGGGCTCCAGACTTTTTATTAATAAGACTGTTTAGCAATTCTTCTTAATCTGGTGCCCAATGTGTTTTTCTGTTTAATTTCAACAGGTGTAACATTCATGATATTCATCATGTCTGGCTGGACTGTGAAACGATTTAGTATTTCACATTTGCTCCTGAAAACTTTCACATTTGAAAAAGAAAAATTCCACATTGTTTGAAAAAAAGGGAATAGGAGAATATGATGGGAAATAATATTCATTAAAATCTTATGTGACAGACATTGTACCATGGTTTTTTAAATATGTTAACTACATTATCACAAATATTCATTGATTAAACTATTATATTGGAATATATATATATATATATATATATATATATATATATATATATGGTGGCACATATGAGAGATATATTACTGAATTAGTTAGGTGACACCAGGGGAGATAAATATAGTACATTTGAAAGCTTATTATCTAGGAGGAAACAGTTTTAATATAAGAATAATAAATTAGAATTACAAGGGGTCAAACACTGTGATTAAAGTTATATGACACTGAGAGATAATGAGCATTTAACTGATAGAGTAGGATCAAGAAAGGCTTCCCTAAAGAAGTGATGTATTGAAGTAATATCTGAAGGGAAATTGAGTTGTTAATGAAATTAACATTCAGAGATCATGGAATATTACAAGAAGAAGGAAGACACATGTAAAGATTCCATAAATGGATGGAGCACAGCACATTTGAGAAAACAGAAGTGGCCAGTGTAGCTGGAATATAAAAATCACAGGGTGGATAGTACAAGATATAACAGAAGAGGTACAGGATTTATATAAGGCTTGATAGTCCATCATAAGGACATTTTTGTGTAAGAGTAATGGAAAGTTAGTAATGGCTTTCAATAGGGAGACAAATAAGAAAATGGGGTGAAATGAGGTAGTAGGGATATGGCAAAATTTATATTTAAAAAGATCCCCTAATTACAGTGGTGAACTAGAGGGAGGCCAAAGTGAATATAACAAGACAGAGAGTGGTGCCTATTGAAATTGTTTGAAAGCTAACAATGGCTTGGACTAGACAGTGGAAATGGGGAGAAAATGATGAATTTGATAGATACTTAGGGGATAATTTTGGAAAGACTAGAGATGGATACACTGTATGAAGCAAAAAAAGTAGGATTTGAGGATAACTCCTTAGCAGAAAACCAGAGGGAAGAGATCATTTTAAGGACAGCAGTATAATGAATTTTGCTTTGCACATGTTGAATAGGGGAAATCTTGAGAGCCCTATGGAGAGATAACTGAACTCATGAGTCCTAAATATATGATGAGAAATTTAGGGTATAGCAATAAATATATGTGACTTCAATATGCATATAGTAATTGAGGTTGTATACATTGGAAAATAATTATTGAAAGATGTGTATAAAAATAACAAAACCTAAAGTTGGTTCCTAAAGAACTGAAACTTAAGCGTCTTAGAAAATATGACAATTTTGAAAAAAAATTGTTTAGGAGTGACATGATAAAAATGAGGAAAGGTCCAGTAAAATGAAGTCTGAAGGTGTCTTTTGGACTTAGCAACATCAAAGTTTCATGGTTATCTTCTGAAAACTGTCCCAACAAAGTAGGGGGAAAGAGAGATTAGAGAATACTTGAAGTGAGTTAATGAAAACAGAAAGCATAAAAATAGTATCAAGAAGTTTAGCTGTGCATGACAGGTGTTAAAGTAAATGCTGAAGCTTTAATCAAAGCTCTAGACTCCTCTCCCCAGTGGGATAACTTTCAGAGCATCTTATAGTTGGTATGTCCAAAATAAAACTCATGACCTTGCCAATTCCTTCCTGTAAAATGATATTTGTTTGGCTTTATAACCAGTAAAAGGCACCTCATTCATTTCACTTTTATCCAAATGAAAGGATTCTAGTACTTTTAAAAAAAGTTTGTGACATGGATCTAGTTGAGAGGGAGAGGATCAAAACAAAAGAGAAAGAGAGATGAAAATTTTGGCAAGTATTATGACTCATTTTGAAGAAAATGGGCTTCAAGGAAGATAAATAACTTTCTTGGTCTCTTGGAGTTAATAAGTGAAAGGGCTTGGAGTAAAACCAGGTATTTTTGGTTTCAAAACTGTTAAACCATTGATTAAAATACCTTTACTAGACATACTAGACAACTTGGACAGCCTTTTTAAAAGCAAGAAGTAGCATCAATAGCTTATTCGTGACATTTGGTATTATGAGCATCTTTTTTATTTGCCAGAAGTATATACACTTACTACTAACACAAAGGACTATTTTCAGCAATAGACTTTCTTTGCTTCCTGGTGTACTTACATTCAGATGTGAGAACCAGTAGAGAGTTGAGTGTTTCAAAATAAACCAGTATTTTTTCCAACTAAAAAAGGAGATTCCTCTAGATTCTCTCTTATGCCAAAGCCATCCCTCGCATTTCCCATGGCCCATTTCAGTACAGGCTATTGCACAAAATCGAGGTTTAGAAGAAGAACGACGGTTTTCCTCAGAGAAAAATGTGGGCAAGAGCCTTTTAAACCAAGACACTGCAAAAACAATCAGGAATAAAATGTTAGTTTGGATATCATAGCAATACAGACTTAATTGTTGTAACATTTTCACAAGTTTACAATAATCTAGCAAATCATCAATATTAGAGAGTTGTTCTCACTACAAATGGTAATATTTTTATTTTTCTTTACTTATAGTCATTTATATTTCTTATTTTGTCAGTAGTTATTTAAGCATTCTTTTTGCTTTTCTTCCTATGTTCCACTAATTTTTAAGTTGATTGATATATTAAGGCTATTAACCTTCTGTCTGTCATATATATTCAAAATCTTTCCCCCAGTTTATTTGCCTTTTACTTTTGTTTATGACACTGTGTATATATACAGTTTCCACTATTTAGCCATAGATATGAAAAGCATATTTTTTGCCTTTTATTGTTAGAAGTTTTACTCATTTTTACATTCAAATCACTAAGACATCCTGCTTTTTGTATATCATATAAAATAGGGATCTTGGGATGTTTCTATTTCCAAATGTTCTGACAGTTGCTCTGAACCATCTATTGAATACTCTTTTCTCTACTGATTTCAAGTATTATTATTATTATACTTTGAATTATTTTGTATATTTAGTCTATTTCGATATTTCTAATTTCTTTCATTAAAATATCAAAACATTTTATCTTTTCTAGATAGTATTATCATAAACTCAAAATAATTTTGGTAATTTATTAAGGAATATTTATTTCCTGTTAATTTTATAATTATTTTTGGATTTTTTCTCATACTATTTTTGCCTAGATGAGCTTTTAGAAATAGGGTTAGCTTCCAAACACACTGTGTTGAAATTCTGATTTAAAAATTTAAGGTGAATTTAAAACACATAATATTTACTACAGTGGATATTATTAGCTTTAAACATAGCCATGTAACACAATTTATCAAGACTTTTCTGAAAAGTTTCTGTTTTTCTCATATATGCTTTATATATTTCATTTTCTTTGGTCTTTTGTATTTTATTGTTTTGTTGCTATATTAGATCAAAATTCCATCTACTTGTTAGTATTTTATTGTTGTTATGCAATATATGATATAAATGGTTTTAACCTCAGAAGTTCAATGTCTCTTATTCTACTTGTTAGTAAATAGCCTAAATCTGTAAAGACAAATCTGAAATGTAAATAAATTAGTTGTAATTAAAGTAAGTTAATGGATAGAAATTCAACACTTATATCAGTGCAAATGAGATTATGAATGTCACTGAGAAAAGAATTTGGCTCATTTGAAAAATACTTTAAAGTATCTCAGCATAATAAACATGGAAGTTTGGCCTGGGAATACTTCAATGTATTGAGCTTATCAGTCTTTGCTTTGTAAAAGGTCAAGACAAACCTACTCCTACTATTAAACTTTAAAAGTGTTCATATTATATTAATTATAACTGTAATATATGTCACTATAAGTTTATAGTTGTACTTCTAAAAACATATCACTCCAGAGTCCAGCCTGTAAAAATTATTCTAATTACCAATTTACTGGTCTCTCGGGATCCTACTAATATAAGCAAATTTTCCAGCAGGTTTAAGTTGAATAGCTGCTCATATTAGGTTACTTTACTTGAAGAGATTATGTAAAAAAAAAAACAAAAAACTACAGATCTCTTCACAAAGCTTTTCAAAGTTGCACGTTTTCTTATGGTCAGCTATTTCTCAGGAGTACATTACCAAAGAGAACAGTTTAACACAGAATTATAAAGTAATGGTATATCTAGCACAGTAGTTCACTTTTGTTGTGTTAGTTCATACAGGTATAAATATGTAAGAAAAATGAAGACTAGGATTGTAATGATTTTTCAATATTGATACTTCAAATTTTGGTCTCTCCTTTCCACTTCTACTGTGGAAGCGTCAGTGATAAAGATAAATTCTTCTTCACGACCTTAGAACCAAATATTTTTAAAGCTACAAATATGTTAGAGATCATGTATTTTAATCTTTTGCTTCACTGAGGAGAATTAAGACCAACAAAATTCAAGTGATATTTGCAATGTTATTGCAAGTTGGTGACAGATCTTGATCAAGAATCTAAGTCTTCAATTATACCTGTTTCCTATATTTGCCCATAACTCTTGCTGAAATTTTAAAAAGATACACTTACTTTAAAGCCTTTTATTGGATCCATATTAAGGAAATGTACTTGATAGCTTGCTAAAATATTGTTAAAGTAAATGTGTGCACTGAAGAGAGGTTGAATAAAATTATGTCAGCAATAATTTTTTTTCCTAAATACTTGGAGTAATCATAGGGCAGGCATCTTCTAACAAGGAACCCACCACAAAATTCAACAAACACATGTCTGAAGAAGACATCCCTCTTTAACAAAGATAAAACAAATAAAACAAAGTAGTTTGTCTATTTTATGAATTTTCTGTGAGACAAAAAGAAACCCCTCAGTGTATAACATACAGGGTTTGCTGTATTTTACACACACACACACACACACACACACGTATAATCTTTTCCATCATTTTTTAATGTTTAACTTAATTTATTGCCAGGAAAATTACCCATTATGAAACTGGGGTAGTTTGAAGAATGAACGACAAAAGGAAAATGTATACAGTCAACAAAAGTTTGAGTCAAATATAATTCTTAAAACCCATGTGTGTCTATTTCTTTGGATTAATCATTGCTATCAGGATATTTTCATATGGCATGCATATGTTACTAAAACTATTTGCTCATGCTACTATTCTTTAAAAGGAACTATAACAGAAATGTTCTATAACATCTCTGAGATTTTAGGGCTATTATGCTTCAGCTCTTCAATACAAGCAGTAGGTGAGAGAAATGCATTTACAAGAACAGAAGGGAACAAAGCCAACAAATAAAAACTTACAATCGATCCAGTTTTGGGCCTTTGCCTTCATGAAGCAATTTATAAAATCCTATAAAGAAAATAATATGCAAATTAATTAGAATGTAGGAAAGTACAAAAATATTTTACTATAATTAGGAGTTGCTAGTCATTTTATTATAGAAAAGAGATAAATTAGAATCTAACAACCATAGGATAAGCAAGACTGCTGTGAAAGGCTGGCCTCTGGACATGACATGGCTATTGTACATGTGAACCCACAGCAACTGCTGTTATTACACAAGACCTACAGAGATCAAGTGAATTTAATATTCCAACATGGAGGAAGGAGGGGCTTTTGATGCCGTACCCTGAACTAAGGAGCTAATGGCAGTTAATGGCTGCTAAAGAAGGGTGTGACATTTTTCATTGTGTGTGAGAAGGTGGGATAGTCATTGGTACATAGCCCAAGAACCAGTGGATGAACCTACACATGTCCACATGTGGGAATCATGAAATGGACTTCGTGGGTTATAAAACAACAACATTACTAAATAAATAAATGAATAAAGTCATTAACTTGGGAGGGAGTTGGGAATATGTTGGGGTATTTGGGAAGGGGTAACTAGAAGGAGAGAATAGGGAGACATGGGGAGGTTACAGGGAGAGCTAGAGGGAGGTAGTAGGGGATGGATATGACCAAGAAACATTGCATACATGCATACAAATTTAAAAAGAATTTAAATGATTAGATTATTATCCTCCATTCTATTAATTTCTCCTTCAATTTCCAGAATATACCTTTGTTTCAACTGTTTGTTGTTTTTCAATGCATGGTTGGGTCAAATTATTATTAGGTATTCTGATAGTTTATTATTTTGTTTTGGCAATAAGGAATGATAGTTCAAAAAACTTACATGGAATTAAAATAATCAACTGAAGTATGAGAAAATAAGTTTTATAACACTTTTTGTGCCAGCCTCCCTTGTAGTAGGCAATTTTGTAATTTTCCAATTTATTCTATTGTTTGTTAATTCCTGAGTTTTCTTGTATCAAATCTTATTTTACATATTTATTGGAAAAAATAATTTCCAGACAGCCAGGCAGTGGTGGTGCATGCCTTTAATCCCAGCACTCAGGAGGCAGAGGCAGGAGGATCTCTGTGAGTTCAAGGCCAGCCTGGTCTATAGAGTGAGTTCCAGGACAGCCACAGCTACACAGAGAAACCCTGTCTCGAAATACCAAAAAAAAAAAAATCCAGATACATATCTGTAGTTTTCCTTTTTTAATTTTTAAAAATTCAATTAAAATATAATTACACTGTTTTCTCACTTCCCTGTCCTCCCAGCACTCCCCGTCTCTCTCTTCATCCCCTCCCTTGTCTGTCTCCTGAGGACCCCCTCTCTAGTTCTCCAATTGATGGCCCCTTTTTGATGATTATTTATGTATTTATGTATATTATATATAAATACATATAATAAATACATAAATACATAAACAAATACACCATTCTAAATATTTTTGACTTTTTGACTTTTGACTTTTAAAGACAACTTCTCACTCTGAAGCCCAGGCTGCTCTTAAACTTAAGATCCTATGCTTTTACTTCCTGAGTGCTGGGATCACATGCATGTATCATCATGCCTGACTGATAATTTTAATGATAATAAGAATGATAAAAATGCCAATTGGTAAAACCTAAAGCTCTGACATATACCTATGGCCAGTTGCCTTCCTACAAATCAGTAAATACTACCAGTTTCTAGTTTAGTTTCTGCAGTTATTTTCAAAGTCTAAAGCTTTGATTCCTGTGATCACTTTGCTTTGATTGAAAGCTGATGATTTTTTTAATTTTATGGGACAAAGAAAATAGTCAATTTATATTAACACATCTCCTTTGATTCCTCCTCCCACTTTTTGTTAGCTACATTAGTACTTTTAGTTCCTCAACAGGTAACTCTTCCCCCGAAATACATTGATTTTTGATAATCACTATTACTTCCTATTGTTTTGGTGCATACATGAACCAAACAATTTTTAGTAGATAAGACAGTATAAAAATAAAAATTAAACCTATGGCTTAAAATCCCTGCACTACTAATTATACTAACATATCAAGATTATCAAGACAGTAGATATAATTTTTGATATTTTACCAAAATATTTATATAAGCTTCAGTAATTCATAAGCTAAATTGAGTCACATTTCAAGCTATGCTTTAAGCTTACTGAATTAAGTTTAAATATTTGTGTATATGAAATTAGATTGGCTTGTATTAAAAAAACCAAGATACTTATCTGTACTGCCCTTTATATTACATAAATAGTTGCTGGCAAGTTTATAATTGAAACTCAGTTTTTATAATTTTTAATGAACTGCAAGAAAGTGTAATTTTAAGTAAATAACACAGCTTCCAAATTTTCTGAAAAATTCTGTATATCTATGCTTGCAGTATAAATTCCTTTTTATTTTTAAAAGGATATTGAATCACATACAATTCTGAAGTACACAACTATAAAGTGTGTATAAATAGTTTGTGTCATCTGGTTTAATCACCTAAAGTCCCATAAAGTGGATTTAACATATGTATTTTTTCCCTATGAAAACAATGAAAAATAATTTCAAAATGAAACAGTGTAAGAACACAGTTAGTGGCCTAAGATGAATAATTATGTTGATGTAGATCAATATTTCTTGATAACTAGACTTGTAATCATTTTGCATTAACATATAATGGAAACCAATATTCAAATACACATATGCCTAGCATAGAACAGATACATAAGACATGATAAAAATTGTAATTACTTGATATCATAGTTATCAAAAAGATAATCAGAAGCTAAAACAGACATATTTTAAGACAGCCTAAACATGTAATCAATTATTTAAAATTATCAATTTAAAAATTATTTTTTGAGATTATAATATAATTACATAATTCATTTCTTTCCTTTCCTTCCTCGAAATCTTCCCAAATAGCTCTTCTTTCTCTCTCTCTCTCAAACTCATTGCCTCTATTTATTAACTGTTACACATATTATATATTATACATTCTATAATACACACACACACACACACACACACACACACACACACACACACACACACATATGCTGAGCTAACCTGCTCAGTTTGTATAAGTTACTTGTATGTATGTTTTCATGGCTAACTGTTTGGTATTGGATAACCATTTGGTGTGCTGTTCTCTGAGGAAGACTATTTCTCTTTTTCTCAGCATAGTTACCAAAATTTTAAACAACAAACCTGAATGTATTTAATGACAGTTTAAAAAATATTTGGAGAGTTTCAAGAGTCAGTTTAAGCTCATTTAAGCCTCCACAAATGCCTCAAATCACAAGTTTTATGCCATAAAATCCCTAATATTTAGAATAATACTCTGAATGCCTAATATAAAGTATTTAGGATTATTATGAAAATCAGTTTCCTTTAAATGAAATTCTAAAAATACTGAAATGTATTTTGCAATTAAATAACAAAATCTAGCAGAATGCATAATAATTGCCATTATAAGCTATCAGTCCAAATTATATTTTTAAATATTTGGCTTGGCTAGAATTTGATATGAAGATATCAGTAAATTTAACTGGTGAAAAAGTCCCAAGTACTGTTATTACTATCATGATTTCTTACTTCATTAATTTTCACTCTAATGCATTGCTAAATTAAAGGTAGACATTAATGAATATGATGTATTTTTAAATGGCCAAGAATATTTGATAGAACATTTGAGGGTCTCTACCCTACTAGAAAAAGACAACTTTGAAAAAAAGAAATGTAGATGCAGAGAAAGACAAAGGCAAATAAGAAAACTGATTCTAGAGAAGAGAGATAATTTGGAAAAAGAGGAAAAGTTTAAAAGTAAACCTACGTAATTATTCTAGAAAGTACATCTACAACAGAAACAATATTAAAAATGGGACAAAAAGTCTGCCATATTGAAAAAAGAACAACAAGTACCAACAGGCAAATAGAAAATAATTTTGAGGAATATAAATTGATAGCTAAGCTATTGGAGGAGCTTTCTAAGTTAAAGACAGTCATGGGACTACATATTACTAATTAGGCAGATTTAAAGTGAATGCAGTGCTTGCTCATTACTAATATAGCAGTATTTTTTCCATCTTGAGTTTTAGTTTTCTGTTCATAAGATTTCTTTAGCTCAGTGGTTCTCAGTTGGAGGCTTGTTCCCCCACTGGAATAAATATCTGGCAACATCCTGAGACATATTTTGGGTCATAGCTTTCAGATGCAGTATTGTCATCTACAAAGAGTCCAGGATCCTGCTAATATACCATTCTGTAGGCAGGACATATCCTATGACAAATAATATTTTGGCCTGAGAAAGTGCTCAGGTTGAGATACTCTGCTTTAGTCAAGGATTGTTGTTGGAAGGATCAGAGATAGCATTGCAAACTATGCTGAAACACTGAATAATGGCATTTCCCACTTTATAATTAGGTTAAAATACAGACCACTAATTCTCTTAGTTTGTAAGGAGTCATTTATTTATTAATTTATTAAATTATATTTTAGTGTTGCAGATTGTACAAGAAAAAATTACCTGCATATTTCTCTCACAATAATTCAGACCCCGTGCAATAAATGCCACAGCTACAGATTGTTTTGACTATTTGTATGTACTGTCTTGTCTGAGAAAGAGATGAATTGAGACTATGGTGAAATACTTAAAAGCTTAGTTACTACTTTTAAGTGCAGGAATTCCTTTCAAAACATTAAAGGAATTAGAAAAAGGTTTCTCTTGGAGATTTAAATAGTCTATTATGGCAAAACATTACTTTAAAAATCATTTCCACAGAAGGCAGCCAGATACATCTAATTTGGAACTTAACAATTAAAATAGACACTATTGACATTATTTGCCATACTATTAAGATAGCTACAATTCTACTCTCAATTGGAGTGATGTTTGTCTTATATCTTAATCCCTTCTCACCTCTACAGAAAATTTGGCCATTTCCCCCCTCTACTGTCCAATTTCTCACTTGATATTATCCAAAAGACCAAGAAGCATTGCCTTCTTTCACTGTGGTATTGGATTTTTAAGC